TTTCTTGTCACTCTTGTTTTTGTTAATAATGAGGCATGTGTATATATGTATATACATATATGTACGTACATGCGTACATATGAATATAGGAAATAGACACGGAAAAGCGTCAATTAGAGATTAAGCGAGAGTTAGCATAGAAATCTTTATAATCAAAGTAAAAATCTCCAAAGAAAACATATTTTAAATCTAATCAAAACATACGTACGATACTATATATCCTAAAATTGTTTTATTTGAAAATTTGAAAAAATTCTTGCGCAACTCATCAATTTATTTAATTTCAGAATAATCTGGTGGACGCAAAAATTGAATTGGATTTAATTTGCGATAGCCATGTCGTATCGCGCGCGCACGCCACGCACGCACGCACACACGCACGCACGCACGCACGCACCACACACACATAAAAAATATATACAGTCTAGCATCGTTTCCGGTGACGGGCGGAAGCGGGCTCGCCTGCTCTAATTTTGCACTAATTTTGCAGTCACGTGATCGTTGGATCGCTGTCAGTCAGAAATCGTCGAATGACAGCGGAAACGTCAAATCTCGCCAACGGATTGTAAACAAACTGGAGCAGCGTGCACGAAACACCGTAATCGCGCATCTCGCCGTACGGGTCTCGTTCTCGCTTCTTTTATGTACACGCAAGCAATCAAAATGCCGGTTCAAAAGGATTCGAATATCGTGAAAATCGCCGTTCAGATGACCGATCAGGTACCGCAACTCATCGAGTTCAATCAAAAGCAACCTTTGGCTGGAATTATTCAGGTGTGTGTGCGTGCGTGTGTACGTGTAATCTCTCGATTTTATTAATTTTATAATATTGTATGTACCTATAATTGTAACAAGTTGTGCACAGTGTGCATCTATGTGTAGGTATATTACTCCAATTCTTAAATTTTTGTCTCCGAAACGAGGGAGGAGGGGCGCGAGAAATTATCTATATTATCTCCCAGTTGTATTGTTATATGTTTCATATATGTATCTATATATCCTATATAAGAAGATTAGAAAAAATAACAGAATGCATTCTAGTAATACTTTATATTAATGATTAACATTTTGTTTTAATTTTAGGAATTGTGCAATGGATGGGGTTTGTCTGATGCCGAATCGTATTCTTTACAATTTTCGGAAAGTAATAATCAAAATTATATTACGGAGAAGAATAGAAACGAGGTGAAGAATGGCAGTATTCTCAGATTGGAGTTTTCACCCTCGAAAACAGCGAGTGATATTTTGGCTAAGCTTAATAATGGTACGGCAGAAGAGAAAGTGGCAGCTTTGCAGAAATTGAGTACACTCAGTATAGACATGACCTTTGCGTTGGAATTTATAAATAAGAAAGGATTAGCATTAATTATTTCACAGGTATTAAAATTTTGTATCATAAAATACAGGTATATAACTTTTCTTGATTGTTTACACACTTGTTATACATAATTACTTTGTATCAGGTGGAAGGTGGGAAGTATAAAGGAAACACCCTTGCGTATTCCCTTAAATCGTTTGTGGAATTGATGGATCATGGAATTGTATCGTGGGATATATTGGAAACACCCTTTATCAATAAAGTGGCGAGCTACGTGAATAACCAATCAGTAACACAGGACACTAGTATAGTGGAAGCTTCTCTAAGTATTTTAGAAAATATTGTTCTCAATTCAACAGGCAAATATGGACAAGTGGAAAAAGAAGTTACTTTTCCCAATCTTGTAATGCATTTGCAATGCATGAATCCACAAATTCAACAAAATGCGATAGCTTTAATAAACGCGCTGTTTCTCAAGGCTGATCTACACAAGAGGCGAGCAGTTGCTGCTACATTACAATCTAAACAAGTCAGGAATGTGTTCTTGACAAATGTCATACAATCTACTGGACAGGTATAAATACATGTCGTGCATACGTACATATTTATACCTTGATATTTTCTTTATAATTAAAGAACAATTGAGTAAATAATAGAATTGAAACAACCATACTAGTTTCGACTAAGACGGTTAATAGATATGTAATGTATTTGATTGCAGAAACAAACAATTACTTTAAAACTTTATTTACGTTACTAAAAAAAAAAGTACACCTACACTTGTTCTATACGTCAAATCTTAAGCGAAAACCACCGTTGTCATTGGTATATCTGTAGAGTTATTTCTAACCAATGAACATACATTCTTATCTCTTCTTCTCTTAAAATATCCTACTTTTATGATACAGGTCGGAGCGGAAATGGCGCATCAACTCTACGTATTGCAAACGCTAATGCTAAGTCTTTTGGAACAACGAATGATGGCGAAGATGGATCCACAGGATCAAGACGCACATGATAAAATTAAGGAACTTCGAAGGATCGCTTTTGATACAGAAGGTGCGAATAGTGGGGATGTAGCCGCTCGCAAACAGGGACTTTTCGCCAAAGATTACAAGAAATTGGGCTTCAAGTACGACATCAATCCTGCTCTTGATTTTACCGAGACTCCACCGGGGATGCTTGCGTTGGACTGTATGGTGTACTTTGCGCGTAATCATACTGAAGCTTATACCAAGGTTGTTCTCGAAAATTCGTGCAGAGCGGACGAGCACGAGTGTCCCTTTGGCAGAACAAGTGTAGAACTTGTTAAACTGCTTTGCGAGGTGAGATACATTAATTTCAAAAACTCAAGTTATGCGTGCCTAATAACGCGCATATGATATTTAAATTGGACGAATATTATTTTAATTAGATATTACGCATTGGCGAAGCACCCAGTGAACAGGGTCAGTCTTATCATCCAATGTTCTTTACGCATGATCATCCATTTGAAGAATTTTATTGTGTCTGTATTGTATTGTTGAATAAAACGTGGAAAGAAATGAGAGCAACTACGGAAGATTTTGTCAAAGTCTTCTCTGTTGTACGCGAGCAGATTACTAGAGCGCTTCAGTGTAAGCCTACAGGATTAGATAAATTTAAAAACAAGTTACAACAGTTGCCCTATTCGACAATCACTAACCTTTGGCAACAGGAAAGGACAAATAGGGAGGAATGGGAAAGTCACGCGAGACCAATTGTTGAACTTCGAGAACAGATTACTCCTGAAATCTTGGAGCTAATTCAGCAGCAGCGATTAGGATTTTTGGTGCAGGGTACCAGATTCATGAAATACAGTGCCAGAGGACAAGTGTGTATATATATAATTTTTTTCCCCCTTTGGAATATGATATACGCAATAAAGCTAATTGTAAGACTAATCTGAGAATCTTGATATTTTTAGCGAATTAAAGATAAATTTTGGTATGTCCGCTTATCGCCAAATCATAAAGTTTTTCATTATGGGGATTGCGACGAGAAATCGATGCCAACGATCGACGAACTTCCTACGAAACTAGCAGTAGTTGAAATTCGAGGATTATTAACCGGCAGAGATTGTCCGCATATGAAAGACTTGCAAAGGCGGAAAACTACTCATCAGTTAGCATTTTCCTTAGCCTTGGACTCTGTTGAAGTGTCTAGTCTCGATTTTGTTGCTCCTGATGAACAGGTTTTCGACTATTGGACTGACGGCATTAGTGCTTTACTCGGTGCGTCGGAAATTCCTTTTACATTTATAAGCAATACGCGCGAGTATTTTACTTGCTTTCCTTTCTTTCCTTCAGGAAATAGAATGACTAGCAAAGAAGCTGAAAATGATTTGGAAACTTTATTATCCATGGACATCAAGTTAAGACTTTTAGATGCTGAAGGGATCGATATTCCGCAAGATCCACCCGCGATTCCCGAACCACCGCCAAATTATGATTTTTGCTACGAGTTGAAGTAATAATTGTGAGTGTCGTCCTCATCTATGACTATAGGGTACATTAATTTTTTACAGGCAATTTTTTACATTGATCTTTGTCCATAAATATCGATTTTTATATTTTTTCTCATCTTTTGCATATATATTGTTACGATATATCGACGTTTTTTTCTCTATCGTAATTCGTTGTGGCGCATTTTAATGTAAAAAAAAATAACAAAAAATGTTTTACCAAAGAGACACTTAAAAATTTTATGTATGCAGTTTTATATGTATTTTATAAGAAATTATTTATCTAAAGACGAGAGTCGCATACAATGATACAAGTTAGACATCACCGTAATTACGTTGACGATTTTTTAAAATAATAATTTAATCAATTTGTAAAGCAGAGTTGGGATTTAGTTGCACATTTCGGTAGATTTTCAGTTTGGATCCTGCACGCGGGTTGGTGAAATAAGGGATAACTAAATCTCAGCTCTGCTGTAAAGCATATCTCTGATAACGTAACCGGTCGTAATATACTTTATAGTACAGTAAGATTTTTTTATCTCTCTCTATTGTGTTATTAATCTTATATCAATATATAATTTTATATCAATATTTCTATGTGCGAGTAAAGTAGTACGATACATTTAATAAACGACGAATATATTTAATAAATTGTAAAGCTTAATTTTACAAGGTATTTATTGAAACATTAACTTATAGAAAATTCTTGACTACATCTTTGCAAGTTTGTATCCTGGCAGCCAAATGTAGCGCGATATAAAGTATAGAATAAAGACAGAGATTGACAATTTGACAATTTTTCATAAGTGATGATAATCTTCATGTGCAAATGTACACGAAACATGAAAAAATAATGTATACCATTGTATACATAGATCGCGCTTGACGCTTATCTTTCTGTGCGAAAGAGTGTACGAAGTATCAGGTGTAATATTATAATTCAAGTACATAATGTCCCGTGAATCTTACATAACATCCTCCGAAAGAATATGATAATGCTGAAGATCGTTGGTTTGATGATCCGGCGGACAGAGGAAAAATTCAATGAAATTAAGCACGGGTCCTCGACTGAAAGGATTCAAGTATTTGCCCTTCTTGTCCCTCAAATATGAATACCTCTTATAATTGAACATTTCGTTGGTAGTCAAATTCATACATGCATGTAAGACCTATTGTAAAGAGAAATAGATGATAGAAAATTACATAAAAAGAAATGTAGATTGTGCAATAATGTAAATATGTTGTATGTCTACCGAGGTACACGTTAGAATCCAACCGAGCCCGCAAAAGACGAGAGCCTCCAGTACACCGAGAACATACAAGAGCTGTATTCCCTCAATTGCGATGCAATAACACGCGAAATATAACGTGAAAGAGCAATTTATCGCCACGCACATAACGAATAGGAAGAACCACATTCTGAAAACAAACGGAAGAGAATGAGAAAGAACAAGAATTTAATTAATGAACCAGCCACTCAATAATGTATGAATTTGTATCGATCGTACCTGTTGCGTAGGCCAACACAATTGTATATAAATGGACAGTGATGATCGAAATATGTGACACATCTGTTGCAAATTCTGCAGTGTTTAGCCCGGAGGGGTCTGAAACACCTGCAGCTATGACATAATCGCGATAGTAAGACATTCCGTTTCTTCCACTTATCGAAGTACGGAATCTACGGAAAAACGACAATACAGGACATAACGATAACAGTTGTAGTTTATGGTTTGATTATTGTGCGTGGTATGATGAACCTGTTTTATCGCCCTGTAGTAGGTGTCACTGTTTTGCGGCACGTAACCGGGGTCTCTTCTGTTAGCGACGATCCACGAGATCCACATGAGAATGTTCCAGTAAATGAAGCAATAATGACTGCCTCGCAAGAGATTCCACGTTAATGGAATGCACTTCAACAGGTACATCGGGTATCCCCATAGCAGGACGGATATCATGAACAACAACAACGGTCCCTTGCTGTTGCCCGCTCCGCCAAACAGTAGCGCCCTTGAAAGCAAACGACACATATAACAAGAAATTCAGTAATTTCTTTATACTTAACTAGAAAAGGGGTGAATCACCCCTTGCCATGAGCACATCCGACGAATATACCATAGCTCATTAATGGGCGGTATCCATCTGGCACGACGTTTTTGTTCCGCCTGCAGAATGCGCACTATCTCCGAGTGGCGATGACTCTTGGCCAGCTGCAGCGGCGTCTTGCCATTTTTGTCGCGCGGTTCAAGCTCAATTTTACTCTTTTCACAGAGGATCCGGACGCAACTGACGTTGCCGGATAGGCAGGCCAAATGGAGCGGTGTCGAACCGAAGTAATCAGGTTTTTGCAGATCCACTCCGCTGTATATCAATAGCTTAATGAGCTCGGCGTGTCCTTTGTATGCAGCCCAATGTAACGCGGTGTCACCATTTATGTCGGTCAAATGTCCCTGCGCGCTGGATCCTAGCAAGAAGGCGGCCGTCGCGAATTTGCCAAACATGCAGGCGGTCATCAGAGGCGTTAGGCCTTTAAAGTCGGCCGCATTAACCGCAACTCCCGCCTGTGAAAGGGAAAAAGTATGAACGGCGAATTAATCAAGATATTTAGAAGAAATTCTTTGAGACTATAAATAAGGATACCTTTATACCTTCAATAATAATTGTACTATCGCACTATGGCCTTTCCGACAGGCCCAATGTATCGGCCTGGGTCCTTGGGTGCCAAGGCACGGTAAATCGACGGGTCCGCTCCGTTCTATCAAATATCTCATTACCTGTTGAAAACAGGTTTTAAATTGTTTACAGTTGTATCTTTTAGCGTAAAACTTTTAATTTTACTAATAAATTTTACTAATAATTTTACGAAATGAGGAATTTAGGTTTTTCTTTTTTAACTAAAAATTAATAAAAGTCTGTATCTATGTTGGAAACGAACTTCAACGTTGCCGTCCAAAGCAGCCCAATGGGCAGGTGTATATCCCCATTCGTCCCTCGCGCTAAGTACATTCAGTCCGTTTTTCTCGACCAGCTCCTCGACTGCCTCGATTTCACTGCAATACGAACGAATCCTTTGCATTCTTCCCGCACACTACTCTCTTCCTGTGATCGCGAACAAATTCTATTCTCTTTCCAAGATTCTCACCCGGCTCTGAGCAATTCAAAGATCTGTTTGGTCTCATCGGTGGGACTTTGTCCAGTGGTAGCTTCGTCCGCATAGATATTGTCGTCAGGACGATTCCTCTGTCGCGTGTCCTTGCCGGAACCGTGATTCTGATGACCAGATATCGGATTGTTCGGTAGATGCCCGACCATGTCGGGATCTGGACTTAGTTCCCATACGGATCGTGCCGCGCCAGGCCCTGCCACAGGGCTCACAGGATACACCTGTAAGCAGGATGTCGATTGTCAATCAAGCAAGAAGAAACAACTATAAATTTTAAGCCAAATATGTACTGTCCAGTTAGCCCAGTATAGTCTACTACTTGATACCAACGAGAGTAACGCATGAGTAACATCAATTTTACACTCGAAGATGTAACTGTTATGTAATTAACATCATCAAATGCGAAATCTTCTTATTGCGAAATATAATTATATAATATATATAATATATATAAAACGATGTTACTTTTGCAGTGTCGGCGCTAGCTGAAGATTATAATAACGATATAAAATTAGTAATTAGTTGTAATAATAAGTCGTGCGCTATTCAACGTACGATGAATAGAGTACATACATATATGTATGTACATACAATAGTTTGTTCATTAATTATTCGCGTTTACTAATTTGGTACATCCTTATTTTTAATTCGTCTTTTACCTTGCACAGCGTCGCGAGTTCTGTATTTGTACGCTCGTGTTCGGAAAACGTTCTGAAGGATGTGCTTTGCGTGCCAATTGTTCCTGCACCCTCCGGGACGGTTAGTCACAAGGAAACATTGGGCCCAACCATGTCTTCCAGGTCTCACCTGACAGCGCAGTTTTTCCTCCAGACCCGAAACGGTTGCGAACGTCCAGTACGTCGGACTCGGCTGAATCCTCCGAGTCCTAGGGCAAGAATACGTATCGTGTATATATATATATATATATATATATATAAACGATATAAGGAGTGCAAAAGCACTTTTCTCGCGCGATCAGCGACGTTCGCTGAAATTTCTGAGAGTGTTTCAAACCTGTACTTACTGTTTTGCGCATTCGAATCAATAACGCGGCGACGCGACGCTTGCGTGCGAGTGACGTGCGAGAAATTAGGACGTCTTGACTTAAGTCAAGGATATCTTAATACTTGTTGCGACAAATGGCTAAGAAAACTTGATAATAAAAATAATTAATTAAAACAAATTTAGTGAAGAATTATAACTCTAACGTTTTTATTTAATTAAAAAGCTCTCATTAAATTTCTACACAGCCGTATGTATATTACTTAAAATATATATCGTCTCTTATCCACGATGACACAAAGTTGATTTCATTTAGTCTCGATATTTTTACATTTTAAGTAGCCTTTTCACTTTGATTTTCATTACGATTCGACATCAGCTTCAGATTCATTCGTAAATCTTGATTAATTTATTTCATTTCTGAACTGTAATTCTAATATTTATACTTATATGTACATATAGAAACAAAATTTAAGAATTTCAAGTTTCTTAATCCTGCACAAACAGATCGAATTATTACTTTATAAATTTTTTATTTTTAGATTACTTAATTGAAATTCTTAAATTTCAATTATTTACAGAAAACTTTTATACACACCTGTGTCATAAATCATTTTCGAACTTGATATCTTATATTCTTCTTATTATTATATTTTGTATATATATAGTATATTTATATTTTATTATAAATTATAACGTTATCTATATTATAATTCTTAATGTAAGAAAATTGTATTTATCATGCGTGCGTACGTGCGTATGTGTGTTGAGGATGTCTTTTAATGTATGTTGAGTTTTAATTCGGACGCCGGGCGTCGAATGATGTTATGTTTTCAAAAATTTACAAAAAGCAGTGGAATCCTTAAAAAAACCTCTTTAGGAAAGAATACATATGCATGAAAAAGGTATTGAATATTGTATATTTAATAAAAAACAAAATAAATGCAATTAGCCACAAGTATTTCATAACGCAAGGCACATAAGATGGATAATATATA